TTCCCTCCCCTTCCCCTCCTCTACTTTTTCCTTCCCCTCCCTTCCTCTAAACGTCCCCTTCCCTTTCCCTCCCCTCTAACCTTCCCTTGTCTTCCCTCCCCTCCTCTCCTTCCCTCTTCTCTCTCCTTTCTTCTCCTCCCCTCCTCTTCTTTGCCCTCCCTTCGTCTCCTCTCCTTTTCCCTGGCCCTCACATGTGTCCTCCCTTCCCCTCTTCTCCTGTCCTCTAAGCTTCTCTTCTCCTCCTTCCCTTTCCCCTCTTCTCCCCTCCTTTCCGTTTCCTTCCCCTCCTCTCCCTTTCTTCTTTCTTTCCTCTCCCTTTGCTCTCCCTCTCCTCTCCCTTTCTTCTTTCTTTCCTCTCCTTCTTCTCCTCTCCCTTTGCTCTCCCTCTCCTCCTCCTTTCCTTTCCTCTCCCTTTCGGTTTTCTTTCCTCTCCTCTCCCTTTGCTCTCCCTCTCCTCTCCCTTTCGTTTTTCTTTCCTCTCCTTCTTCTCTCCCTTTGCTCTCCCTCTCCCTTTCTTCTCCCTCTCCCTTTCTTCTTTCTTTCCTCTCCTTCTTTTCCTCTCCCTTTCGTCTTTCTTTCCTCTCCTTCTCTTCTCCCTTTGCTCTCCCTCTCCTCTCCCTTTCCTCTCCTCTCCCTTTCCTCTCCTCTCCCTCTCCTCTCCCTTTCCTTTCCTCTCCCTTTCCTTTCCTCTCCCTTTCCTCTCCTCTCCCTTTCCTTTCCTCGCCCTTTCCTCTCCCTCTCCTCTCCCTTTGCTCTCCTCTCCCTCTCCTCTCCCTTTGCTCTCCTCTCCCTTTGCTCTCCCTTTGGTCTTTCTTTCCTCTCCTTCTCCTCTCCCTTTCCTTTAATCTTTCCTTCCCTATCCCTTCTGTCCTCTCCTCTTCCCATCCTCCCTTCTCTTTCATATTCACCTTGATGCACACCACCTCATCACATTTTCTCTCTCCTTGCCCTAATCCTCATTCTCCCTCTTCATTCTCCATCCTCATCCTCTGCCCTGACTGCTCCCCTCGCCTCTCTGCGTCTAAGGACTACTCTTTCGCTTTGCCTGCTCAGTCCAATATTGAGGGCTACGACCGTCCAGACCCTCCATCCAAGCCTCTCCCACCTGACCCGGTCCCGAGGCCCAGCCAGGTAATGTACCGCGGTGTGTAGTGCCCCCTTTGGCTGGTGTGGTGATGGTGACGTCCCTCGATTACCTTATCTGTGGTGTGGCCCCTGTAGCTCCTATTGAAGTGGCCCCTTGCTGTGCATGTCTCTTCACTTATTATTAAACTTTTCATCCAGGCTGACCCTCAGGAACGGCCGCCGGCACCTAATCGGCCTCTCCCCGCCGACCCGCGACAGGCCAAGGTAACCCGCCAGGCGTTCTGGAAAACTACTGGGAGTCACATGGGTCTCTGTTAGGTCAGCGGACCGACCGAGAGACAGAAGCGTATCTATAACTGAATATAGTAATGAGCTGAAGGCACGCTCCGCCTGCTCAGCTCCTCCCGACATCAACTCACTTCAGTGCTGCCGGAAAGCAATAAGATGAAACTGTCAGCAGTCGGAGTAGCAATAAAGCTTGAACGGAATTCTGACCCATTTCTCTCATTTTAGCTTTCAATAAGGGAACCGGTCCTGAACGGAGCAAACTCCCAGCTGATGCAATAAATGGCATGTTTGTCTTGTTGCTTTTGGCAGCCCTGAAGTGAGATTATGTTTCAGGAGGAGGAGAAAGGGGAGGAGCTATGTAGGCAGTATGTGCTATCACATCATTATTATGAATTGTATGGATTTAGTAAATGGCAGCTCTCAATATTAGGGTGATGGGATCACGTTAATGTCTGCCGTCAGAAGACCCCCCCTCCGGCCCCCCACCCATACTCCCCTCTAATTAGTCTTTGTGCTGCTGCAGGTCTCCTTGAAGCCGCCTCTACCTAAGAAACCGCTGCCAGTGAAGCCCACCCTGCCCTGCCAGGACCCCCTGCTCAGCGTGCCAACCTATCCGGAGCGTATCATTGCACTTCCGTCAAGGTAAGACCTCATTAGAGAGCAACTTGGAGTGACCCAGAAAGTGATATTTCAGTGTTGGGTGGAGGCTGGAGAGTCCAGTCCTCTAACTGCAACCTAATTCTTAGTTCTGTACACCTGCGGTGCCCATTATGAGGGGCTCCCACCATCCCTGTGCTGAGTTCCCGGGTCTGTACACCTGCTGTGCCCATTATGAGGGGCTCCCACCATCCCTGAGCTGAGTTCCCGCGTCTGTACACCTGCTGTGCCCATTACGAGGGGCTCCCACCATCCCTGTGCTGAGTTCCCGGGTCTGTACACCTGCTGTGCCCATTATGAGGGGCTCCCACCATCCCTGTGCTGAGTTCCCGGGTCTGTACACCCGCTGTGCCCATTATGAGGGGCTCCCACCATCCCTGTGCTGAGTTCCCGGGTCTGTACACCCGCTGTGCCCATTATGAGGGGCTCCCACCATCCCTGTGCTGAGTTCCCGGGTCTGTACACCCGCTGTGCCCATTATGAGGGGCTCCCACCATCCCTGTGCTGAGTTCCCGGGTCTGTACACCCGCTGTGCCCATTATGAGGGGCTCCCACCATCCCTGTGCTGAGTTCCCGGGTCTGTACACCCGCTGTGCCCATTATGAGGGGCTCCCACCATCCCTGTGCTGAGTTCCCGGGTCTGTACACCCGCTGTGCCCATTATGAGGGGCTCCCACCATCCCTGTGCTGAGTTCCCGGGTCTGTACACCCGCTGTGCCCATTATGAGGGGCTCCCACCATCCCTGTGCTGAGTTCCCGGGTCTGTACACCCGCTGTGCCCATTATGAGGGGCTCCCACCATCCCTGTGCTGAGTTCCCGGGTCTGTACACCCGCTGTGCCCATTATGAGGGGCTCCCACCATCCCTGTGCTGAGTTCCCGGGTCTGTACACCCGCTGTGCCCATTATGAGGGGCTCCCACCATCCCTGTGCTGAGTTCCCGGGTCTGTACACCCGCTGTGCCCATTATGAGGGGCTCCCACCATCCCTGTGCTGAGTTCCCGGGTCTGTACACCCGCTGTGCCCATTATGAGGGGCTCCCACCATCCCTGTGCTGAGTTCCCGGGTCTGTACACCCGCTGTGCCCATTATGAGGGGCTCCCACCATCCCTGTGCTGAGTTCCCGGGTCTGTACACCCGCTGTGCCCATTATGAGGGGCTCCCACCATCCCTGTGCTGAGTTCCCGGGTCTGTACACCCGCTGTGCCCATTATGAGGGGCTCCCACCATCCCTGTGCTGAGTTCCCGGGTCTGTACACCCGCTGTGCCCATTATGAGGGGCTCCCACCATCCCTGTGCTGAGTTCCCGGGTCTGTACACCCGCTGTGCCCATTATGAGGGGCTCCCACCATCCCTGTGCTGAGTTCCCGGGTCTGTACACCCGCTGTGCCCATTATGAGGGGCTCCCACCATCCCTGTGCTGAGTTCCCGGGTCTGTACACCCGCTGTGCCCATTATGAGGGGCTCCCACCATCCCTGTGCTGAGTTCCCGGGTCTGTACACCCGCTGTGCCCATTATGAGGGGCTCCCACCATCCCTGTGCTGAGTTCCCGGGTCTGTACACCCGCTGTGCCCATTATGAGGGGCTCCCACCATCCCTGTGCTGAGTTCCCGGGTCTGTACACCCGCTGTGCCCATTATGAGGGGCTCCCACCATCCCTGTGCTGAGTTCCCGGGTCTGTACACCCGCTGTGCCCATTATGAGGGGCTCCCACCATCCCTGTGCTGAGTTCCCGGGTCTGTACACCCGCTGTGCCCATTATGAGGGGCTCCCACCATCCCTGTGCTGAGTTCCCGGGTCTGTACACCCGCTGTGCCCATTATGAGGGGCTCCCACCATCCCTGTGCTGAGTTCCCGGGTCTGTACACCCGCTGTGCCCATTATGAGGGGCTCCCACCATCCCTGTGCTGAGTTCCCGGGTCTGTACACCCGCTGTGCCCATTATGAGGGGCTCCCACCATCCCTGTGCTGAGTTCCCGGGTCTGTACACCCGCTGTGCCCATTATGAGGGGCTCCCACCATCCCTGTGCTGAGTTCCCGGGTCTGTACACCCGCTGTGCCCATTATGAGGGGCTCCCACCATCCCTGTGCTGAGTTCCCGGGTCTGTACACCCGCTGTGCCCATTATGAGGGGCTCCCACCATCCCTGTGCTGAGTTCCCGGGTCTGTACACCCGCTGTGCCCATTATGAGGGGCTCCCACCATCCCTGTGCTGAGTTCCCGGGTCTGTACACCCGCTGTGCCCATTATGAGGGGCTCCCACCATCCCTGTGCTGAGTTCCCGGGTCTGTACACCCGCTGTGCCCATTATGAGGGGCTCCCACCATCCCTGTGCTGAGTTCCCGGGTCTGTACACCCGCTGTGCCCATTATGAGGGGCTCCCACCATCCCTGTGCTGAGTTCCCGGGTCTGTACACCCGCTGTGCCCATTATGAGGGGCTCCCACCATCCCTGTGCTGAGTTCCCGGGTCTGTACACCCGCTGTGCCCATTATGAGGGGCTCCCACCATCCCTGTGCTGAGTTCCCGGGTCTGTACACCCGCTGTGCCCATTATGAGGGGCTCCCACCATCCCTGTGCTGAGTTCCCGGGTCTGTACACCCGCTGTGCCCATTATGAGGGGCTCCCACCATCCCTGTGCTGAGTTCCCGGGTCTGTACACCCGCTGTGCCCATTATGAGGGGCTCCCACCATCCCTGTGCTGAGTTCCCGGGTCTGTACACCCGCTGTGCCCATTATGAGGGGCTCCCACCATCCCTGTGCTGAGTTCCCGGGTCTGTACACCCGCTGTGCCCATTATGAGGGGCTCCCACCATCCCTGTGCTGAGTTCCCGGGTCTGTACACCCGCTGTGCCCATTATGAGGGGCTCCCACCATCCCTGTGCTGAGTTCCCGGGTCTGTACACCCGCTGTGCCCATTATGAGGGGCTCCCACCATCCCTGTGCTGAGTTCCCGGGTCTGTACACCCGCTGTGCCCATTATGAGGGGCTCCCACCATCCCTGTGCTGAGTTCCCGGGTCTGTACACCCGCTGTGCCCATTATGAGGGGCTCCCACCATCCCTGTGCTGAGTTCCCGGGTCTGTACACCCGCTGTGCCCATTATGAGGGGCTCCCACCATCCCTGTGCTGAGTTCCCGGGTCTGTACACCCGCTGTGCCCATTATGAGGGGCTCCCACCATCCCTGTGCTGAGTTCCCGGGTCTGTACACCCGCTGTGCCCATTATGAGGGGCTCCCACCATCCCTGTGCTGAGTTCCCGGGTCTGTACACCCGCTGTGCCCATTATGAGGGGCTCCCACCATCCCTGTGCTGAGTTCCCGGGTCTGTACACCCGCTGTGCCCATTATGAGGGGCTCCCACCATCCCTGTGCTGAGTTCCCGGGTCTGTACACCCGCTGTGCCCATTATGAGGGGCTCCCACCATCCCTGTGCTGAGTTCCCGGGTCTGTACACCCGCTGTGCCCATTATGAGGGGCTCCCACCATCCCTGTGCTGAGTTCCCGGGTCTGTACACCCGCTGTGCCCATTATGAGGGGCTCCCACCATCCCTGTGCTGAGTTCCCGGGTCTGTACACCCGCTGTGCCCATTATGAGGGGCTCCCACCATCCCTGTGCTGAGTTCCCGGGTCTGTACACCTGCTGTGCCCATTATGAGGGGCTCCCACCATCCCTGTGCTGAGTTCCCGGGTCTGTACACCCGCTGTGCCCATTATGAGGGGCTCCCACCATCCCTGTGCTGAGTTCCCGGGTCTGTACACCTGCTGTGCCCATTATGAGGGGCTCCCACCATCCCTGTGCTGAGTTCCCGGGTCTGTACACCTGCTGTGCCCATTATGAGGGGCTCCCACCATCCCTGTGCTGAGTTCCCGGGTCTGTACACCTGCTGTGCCCATTATGAGGGGCTCCCACCATCCCTGTGCTGAGTTCCCGGGTCTGTACACCTGCTGTGCCCATTATGAGGGGTTCCCACCATCCCTGAGCTGAGTTCCTGGGTCTGTACACCTGCTGTGCCCATTATGAGGAGCTCCCACCATCCCTGTGCTGAGTTTCCGGGTCTGTACATCTGCTGTGCCCATTATGAGGGGTTCCCACCATCCCTGAGCTGAGTTCCTGGGTCTGTACACCTGCTGTGCCCATTATGAGGAGCTCCCACCATCCCTGTGCTGAGTTTCCGGGTCTGTACACCTGCTGTGCCCATTATGAGGAGCTCCCACCATCCCTGTGCTGAGTTTCCGGGTCTGTACACCTGCTGTGCCCATTATGAGGGGGTAACTTTGCCCTCCAGGCCCCACTCCCCCGAAATATCACTTCTGGGTGCGCTGCCTCATTGAATGACGCAAAGGGCGGAATACACAGGAACCTTCTATTCCTTTACATATGTGCGGCCATGTTTGTGACGCGGTTCTCGGCTTTCTTGTCCCCCCAGGCAGGCTCCTCCACCCCCCTACTCAGGATGGAGCCCAAGAGCGTAAAAGAAACTTGAGGAGCCCCATCAGAGGGCGGGTCCCCCAACTCCGGTTAAGAAGACGCGGCTCCCTGCATCGCGACTACTGCAGTACTGTACATAGTACCGGGGTGTCCGCACCCCCTGCACTGTATCCCTGGCACCCCCAGCTGGACTCGTGGGGCCCCCCCAATTTCCTGGACATCCTGCTGTTGCTGTAAATATCTCATTCTGATCGTGTGTGTGCGTGTGTTTTATACTGAGTGCGTGATGGGCGGGGCGACGCAGCTAAGTGCAATAAGGGGAGGGGAAGGACAACGACGACGGGCAGCGTTGAGTGGCGGGAGATGGCGGTCTTACTGGTGCCGAGTATCTCTAGGAGAGACAATGACCACTCACAATATGAGGACGCTGTTCCTGGCCCAGCCAGCAGAGGGCGCCATTACTCCATCGTGAGTCCACAGCTCGGCCAATGTCAGAATTCTGATTAAAGTGCCCAGATCACCTGCTTGTGTCTGACTTTTATTACTTCACGTGAAGCTACGGACAAGCATGACGGGTCAGAGGGCGCGGCCTGCGTTACCCTGATAGCGAATCAGGGGGGGGGAACCTTTGCTCAGAGTGCGTTGGCCTAAACTGGCCAACAAAAGAAGAACAATGAGCTGCACAAGATTTAAAAAAACTGGATATATTCTTTATGATTTCGATTGGTCACAAAGTTCACTTGACAGATGTGAAGTGGGCGGGGCCAATCGTATATTACAGTCCAACTGACCAATCAGAGCACTACTGTTCATAACCAAGGACTGCTTTTTAACATGTTATCTATATATGGAGCTGAGGAATGTTGGGTGCCTACTGTGCCCCCGTTCAGGAGATTCCCCTCACTTCCTGTTCCTGGTGAGATTGCGACACGATGTGGGAAGGAATTACCTTCACACTGCATATTATTCTTCCACACTAAATTACAATCATTACTATAGTTGTCACCTGGCAATAGGGAACAGCAAAGCTGACACCGTCCTACACTATGTCCCTATTCTAATGGACAGCAATGCCCAGATGTGACCTGGTGTCACAGGAAGTGAGGTATCCCTGGATCAGATTGGAAGAGACGAGGCCAAACACGCAGCTAAAATGTCATTCTCTACACATGCATCAGGCAGAGACATTTGTAGAATTCCTCCCTGTAGTCAGCGCTGCAGATGTCCTATAGTGATATGGGAGTTATGTTCCCTATTAGTCCCCCCCCCCCTCACCCGTCTCCAGGTCCCGGGTGGTCTGCTCGCCCTTTGACGATCAGATATATGTCTCCTTAGGTGAGCACACCTGTCCTGTACGTGTGTCTGCTGTGCCCTCGCCCCCAGGACATGGCTGGACCCTCGCTGACCCCGCCGCGTGCAGGTGAGACGCATCACTTCATCCAATGCAAGTCTGTGCGGCGACCATTAGTCACTGACCAGATCCTGCTGATAGGAACGCAGTGTCTGTGCTAAATAAAGTTATTGTCTTCAGGGGAAATTCCAAAACATTGTTCACCAGAGGAGCTTACACTCTAATGTCCCCCCACAGTCACACACTATTATTATACATGTATATAGCTGTGACATATACCGCAGTGCTGTACAGAGAACACTGAGCCGGTCACATCAGTCTCTGCACCACCCAGACTCCATATTTCGGTGTTGAGTGGATGCGGGGACAGTTGAACGTCCTCTGGGGCTCTTCTATCTCGGATTATTGCCAGGTCAGCATGATGTCATTGTGGTGATGACACGAAGGTGTGGTGTCACGGGGTTGATATTCCTGGACGTGTTTGTAACGTGGAACATTATTTGGCATTGCTGCTGCAAGATTGGTCAAAGCTGCACTTCAACATTTCTAAAAGTACGATGATGCAGAAAGCCTCCCCTGGTAGAGATGCATATCGGGGTATATTGTTGGCCAAAACTACAAAAGATTTGGGGGTGCTCATTTCAGATAACTGCAAAATGAGCAAACGGTGTGGCCTGGTACAGAGTTGTGGGGTCCCCAGCAGGAGGAAGGAGGTCCTGATTCCCCTATATAGAACTTTAGGGATCCCCAGCAGGAGAAGGAGGACCTGATTCCCCTATATAGAACTTTAGGGATCCCCAGCAGGAGAAGGAGGACCTGATTCCCCTATATAGAACTTTAGGGATCCCCAGCAGGAGGAAGGAAGTCCTGATTCCCCTATATGGATCTTTAGGGATCCCCAGCAGGTGGAAGGAGGTCCTGATTCCCCTATATAGATCTCTAGGGATTCCCAGCAAGAGGAAGAAGGTCTGCTTAGAATCCCTAAAGATCTATATACCCAGCAGGAGAAGGAGGACCTGATTCCCCTATATAGAACTTTAGGGATCCCCAGCAGGAGAAGGAGGACCCGATTCCCCTATATAGAACTTTAGGGATCCCACTGCAAAATGAGCAGACCTGATTCCCCTATATAGAACTTTAGGGATCCCCAGCAGGAGAAGGAGGACCTGATTCCCCTATATAGAACTTTAGGGATCCCCAGCAGGAGAAGGAGGACCTGATTCCCCTATATAGAACTTTAGGGATCCCCAGCAGGAGGAAGGAAGTCCTGATTCCCCTATATGGATCTTTAGGGATCCCCAGCAGGTGGAAGGAGGTCCTGATTCCCCTATATAGATCTCTAGGGATTCCCAGCAAGAGGAAGAAGGTCTGCTTAGAATCCCTAAAGATCTATATAGGGAATCAGGACTTCCTTCCTTCTGCTGGGGATCCCTAAAGATCCATATAGGGGATCAGGACCTCCTTCCACCTGCTGGGGATCCCTAAAGTTCTATATAGGGGAATCAGGACCTCCTTCCACCTGCTGGGGATCCCTAAAGTTCTATATAGGGGAATCAGGACCTCCTTCCACCTGCTGGGGATCCCTAAAGTTCTATATAGGGGAATCAGGAGCTCCTTCCTCCCTCCAGTCTTGGAGAAAGAAAGGGAAGTTGGGACATGATTGGAACATTTAAATGTATTACAGGTGTGAATAAGATTTAGGGGAGCTAAATTCAAGGACACGAGGACCTGACCTCCAACTAGCAGGAGGAAAGTGCAAATCTCACCATAGAAAGTATTATTTTACTGAAAGAGTAGTTGATGGTCGGAACCGACTTCCTGCAGAGGTAACAACTCATGGTCAGTAAGTGGATTTAAACACAGACCTAGACTCAGACAAAGAGGTTCAACAAATCAAAATGCAGCAATTTCGGTGGCCCCCTTCTACTGTCCATCTTCTGTGTTCCTCTGTTTCTATGGTTTGGGGGAGTCAGTGGGGCCCCCAGTCTCCAGGTCATGTTGTAAACATTGGCTCATTAGACCCAATCCAGGCGGATTGCCGACCACACCTAGCAGACAAGGTGGCAGCAGTTAATGAGGCTGAGGTCCTCTCAATGACGAAACCTTTCATTCCCACCCATAGAAACTGGTCATCTGGTCACTCGGTATCAGGGAACTTCCAGGGCGAGGACCTGCCCGACCGGTTCCAGCGACCAGGACCACCCCGCCGTCTCCGTCCACTGATGGAGCCTCGGACCTATTGATCCAGCAATTTGCTAATGACACAGTGGGGGATAATGAATGGTCTCCGTCCCCAGATCAAAGCCGCCCGGATCCTTCTATGGAAGCTACATATGCTTCCGCCTCCACTGTCCGGGGACAACAAGTCCCATCATGATTACAGCCGGGTCGGGGACACCGGTGTTCTGTCCCTGGAAATGTTCCCAGTTTAAAATGATCTGTGTGAGAACGTCCGTGGTGAGGAATCTGGAGGTGACCTTGTGGCCAAGGGGGAAATCAGCGCCTGCTGTGCAGAGCTTGTCCACCAAGATGGACAATCTCTGCTTTGATGGAGGTTCAGTGGGGCCCTACACGGCCCGGCCCTCTCTACGCGGCTCGGGTAGGACTAAAACCTCCAATGCGGAAATGTCGGCCTGTGTAGGGGCCAACCAAACTTGACTTCTGTCTACCGGTGCGCGCTCACATCTCAGCATTGGGGGGTTCGGGGTTCACAATTTACTAGAATTTGGGTGTAAAGAGGACTCATACATGGCGGAGGTTCAGAGCCCCTCCCGTCCTCCACATATCCCGGCGTTTCCTGCTCCATCGGCCGCTGTGACCGAGCAGAATTCCTTTATACAATTATGACATTCCTGAACATGAAACCTGAGAGAGCCGGGCGGGCGGACTGGCTGCAGGAATCCGGCCCGGCAACCCCGGGTTGCCCTTCTGACGTTCGCCTCTTTGCCCGGCGCCGGGAGACCTTTTCACCCCTCGTTTTCTCCACCCCGAAACGGGAACCATTTTTCCCCCCGTGAAACATTTCTCGAGATGCGTCAGCGGGTCCTATGTATTTAAAAAAAGCCGAGTTCATCTATTGCCCCGCCCACCGCGCCTTTGCTGCCGTTATTCTTGCGCATTGCGACCCAACGGCGACCCCCCCAACGGTCGAGGATAAAATTGGGAGAGGAACAAAAAAGTAAACGTGAGCAATGAAGACGGAAGGGGCAATTGCGCCGTCATAATGGCGAACAAATCCGCCATTTCCCCAGCAAATCTGGCGAAAGAAATGACGCGGGCATCGGAGAGGTGCCGGAACTGGCAAACTCCACCCTCGAAAAAGCTTGGCTCAACCGACACAGACCGCGCCCGGCCCGATGGCGAATTAGGCCGCCGAGTGTTCGGACGCGGCTTTTTTGGGAGTGTGCGCTGGACCGAAGCGCTTGCTGGAACATGGAAGCCGCGCAATAATAATCAGACTTTCTTCAGTTGTTTCCTCGTGCTGCCGGGTCTTCCGAGGGGTCACAACGACGGCGCGCGGCGGCGGAGCGGTCGGATCTGAAGACGCCGCGCTCCTTTCCTGGTGGATAAATTGCTGTGATCCGGGGGAGGGACACGACACTCGCCGCCTCTGCTGGCAAAGCGGAGACGCCGCCTAATGAGGAATCTCGTTAGCGAGACGGTTTCGTGTTTTCTATTAGCGGAAAAAAAGGCCTCTGACAGGGAGAGGATTAAACCGAGGGCGCAAAAGAAAAAATCGCGGGGAACGCCATAATGAGGTTGCGGGGGAGGGGGGGAGGGTTATCTACAATTCATCCATCCATAGACTTCACTCATAGATATATATATATATCTTTCGAAGTGTCGGAGAGGAAGTCGGCGTGCTGGAAATTTTTCGCCGTTGTCGTAGATTGTAGCGCTGTGGGCGGATCCTGTCCATGTCCGGGCTGCTGGTGATCGCCTGATGTGCCGGCATAGACTCCTTCCCTTTGTCTAAGGGGGAGTCGATTGTGGCCCCTTTAAAAAGTTTATCAGCATGCTGGAAGATCTCTGACACGTGATGGATTCTGTCCGCATCCCATAGACCTCCATGGCCAGTAAGGCCCGCAGGCTGACTTGTAATTGGTCGATTGGGCCCACAAGCGAGGCTCCTGATTGGATTGTGAATGTCCAGTGATGACAGACATCTCCCCACTAGCACCTCTTGGCTTTTCCCCCTCTTCCCTCACTATGGAGTCTCGCTTCTCCTGCTGCATTCTCCATAATTCCCTCAGGGACAATGGGAGACCCCGAAACGGCGGCTGCAGTTGGGCAGAGCCCGACCACTAGGCCTGGAGATCTCACCGATAAGAGTACTCGGGAGATATGGATAAGATAACCGCCGGCTCCGATACAGCAGGACTGAGATGACAAGGAGGGCCCCTACGGAGTAACGCCCGGGCCGCCGTGTAACATGCCAACAAGGCGCAAAGCCGGCCGCAGACACAAAGCTTTATTTACAAAACACAGAAACAATTTCTCTCACATGGGAGAAAAACATTTCCAGCCGGAAGACAAAACACCGGACGGCGTGTCAGCTCTGCGCTGCGTCAGGCAGGGGCCGCCGCCGCTACTGAGGATGACCATCACACTCTGTCTGGCCAGGAAAGGGTTACTGCTGGTTTATAAGGAGGAGGATGACAATTGGACTCTATGAGGATGATAATCAGACTCTGTCTGGCCAGGAAAGGGTTACTGCTGGTTTATAAGGATGAGGATGACAATTGGACTCTGTGTAAGGATGATAATCAGACTCTGTCTGGCCAGGAAAGGGTTACTGCTGGTTTATAAGGATGAGGATGACAATTGGACTCTGTGTAAGGATGATAATCAGACTCTGTCTGGCCAGGAAAGGGTTACTGCTGATTACTACTAAGGATGAGGATGACAATTGGACTCTGTGTAAGGGTGATGATCTGTCTCTGGCCAGGAAAGGGTTACTGCCGGTTTATATTAATAAGGATGAAGATGACCATTCAACTCTATGAGGATGATGACCTGACTCTGTCTGGCCAGGAAAGGGTTATTGTTAAACTATAATAAGGATGAGGATGACAGACTCTATGGGGATGATAATGTGATTCTGGCCAGGAAAGGGTTACTGCTGATTTATTTTAAAAAGGATGAACATGACCATTGGACTCTGTGTAAGGGTGACTCTCTCTCTTTCTGGTCAGGAAAGGGTTACTGTTAAACTATAATGAGGATGAGGATGACAGACTCTATGGAGACAACGATGTGGCTCTGTCCAGGAAAGAGTTACTGCTGATTTCTATTAATAAGGATGAACATGACTCTGTGTAAGGGTGGCTCTCTCTCTCTTTCTGGCCAGGAAAGGGTTACAGCAGACTTGAGTTGGGAAGAGTTTGGCAGAGTTTGCAGTGTGCTGCAAGCTGATTGGCCGGAGCTGCCCCCCTGTGGGCGGGGCCTGGCTACCTTTGCCTGGGGAGGGTGCAGAGTGCAGTCAGAGACATGATGAAGGCTGAGGGGCTGCTGAGGCTCCTGCTGTGGCTGTGTGCTGCACTGGAGCAGCTGAAGAGGGTGTGCGGGGTCCGGCATAGCGTGCACTGGAACAGCACCAACCCCAGGTGAGTGCCCACCCAACCCCCTGGCACCCCGTATTCTCTGTGCCCCC